CACACCTGAAACCCTGAATTCACTCCGAGTACAAGCACACAAACACATCGATGAGGTCTGTACATAGTGCAACCTGAGCTCCACGTTCACCATGGCTGCAGTGGGAAACGTCTCCTGTGACAATCGTCTTCTCCGACACGTTCTGCCGCTGCAGATTTGATGGCACGGGACCAGCACTGATCCACAGATCCCCTACACATACATATGGCTGAGTTTTTGTAGAAGAGGGGAGCGGGCAGCATGTGGAAATTGTCTATTTTTGAAAAACAAGTTTTACAGATGTTGCAGAGATTATTGATGCTGTTGGTTAGAAAATACAAAAAAAATAATAATTTTGTTTAGAGAGTCAAAGCAACTTTTAATAACTTCAACAAACATGACGAGAGGACTCTGATGGAGCAACACTTTGCACAGGAGTTAAAAGCTTTGACGACCTTGAGTCCTTTCATCGGATCAAAGAGGTGTCCTCTTGACTAAGTATCCTCTAATATATAACTGCTATAAATGCTTTATTGACAGCTGTTGCCCGGCCATATGTTGTAAAGCAACAAATAAGCAATGTTCTGCTCCAAGTGGTCCTTGTGTTTTATTTGGCAAACCTAAGATAGACCCACGCAGCTCTGCCTCTGATGCTGGACATCGTGCAGCCAGGCAGGCTCCAACTGCCTCAGCTTGTTTAGTCCGCCGCCGCTGCTGTTTGTGGTGCAGATGTCCTGTTTCTGTGCAGTGATATGAAGTTTAGTAACCATCAGGGAGGGGGTCACTCACCACCCCTGCTCGTCTCAACAGTGAGCATGACTTCACCTGCAGCAGCATTTGTTGTTTTTGATCTCAGCTCTTTCTCTTGGTTGGTCCATTCTGTCATATATTTGCTTGAATTTGCATTCAATAATTAGACTTTGATGTTAGACAGTAATTTTGGAGTTTTCTTGATTTTTAGAGCTGTATACCAGGACATGCATTAAACATGATCAAAGTGTGTGTTTTTTTTGTGTGTGTGTTTTCAGCAGCTCTTCCAGCATGTGTATCAGTGACAGCAGGTATCCCCCGGGGCGCCTACACACCTTTTATACTTTTCAAGGATCACAATTTCTGACCTTTTGATTTTGGAGACACTTTTTGACATCTAAAAAAGTTAAATCTGGTCCTCTGGACATTCAAAAAAAAAAAAAACCCAAAACAAAGCAAAACAACAAAAAATGTAGAAACGTTTCGTCTCTCGTCCGAGAGACTTCTTCAGTCTGAGGTGCTGTTTTCAGCTCAGTTTTCTGCTTTCCTGAAAGCAGAGAAGAAACCCAAACAGGACTCCAGTCAGCCAACAGGTGAAAAGGAGGAACCCAGACCCAGACCAGTGGTCATTCCATATGTTGAGGGGGTATCAGAGAAACTGAGACGTTTATTTTCTAAACATAACGTCCCAGTGGCTTTTAAACCCCAAAATACATTACGGCAAAGACTGGTTCATCCCAAAGATCCAGTCCCCCGGCACAAACAGAGTAATGTTGTGTATGCTGTTCAGTGTCAGGAGGGCTGTGATCAGTCTTACATCGGGGAAACAAAACAGCCACTGGCCAAAAGGATGGACCAGCACAGAAGATCAACATCATCAGGCCAGGACTCTGCGGTCTACACTCATCTCCAGGCCAGCGGTCACTCTTTCAGGGATGAAGATGTTCACATCCTGGATAGAGAGGAACGATGGTTTGAGAGAGGAGTAAAGGAGGCCATCTTTGGGAAAAGAAACCGTCCATCATTAAACAGGGGTGGAGGCCTCCGGGTTCAACTGTCCCCCTCTTACAATGCTGTGATTGCTAGTATCACTCAGCCCTCTGTGAATAGTAAACAGCCATCAGTGTGCTAATGACCCATTGTTAGGCTGATGGTCCTTCTAGAGCATGTGATCAGCTGGTTTTGGTTGTCAGCAGCAAAACTGGTTGATCCACTCTGAGAAGGTGTTATTTAAGAGACTGAGCTGAAAACAGCACCTCAGACTGAAGAAGTCTCTCGGACGAGAGACGAAACGTTTCTACATTTTTTGTTGTTTTGCTTTGTTTTGGGTTTTTTTTTTTTTGAATGTCCAGAGGACCAGATTTAACTTTTTTAGATTTTTCTACCTGGATTATTGAGCATGCATCAGGACTTTTTGACATAAAAATTTCAGTATATTTACTGTAATTTAAAGGAACAGTCGTTTTTCTTATCCAGGCTAATATCTATAGTCAAACAAAGACCTGTTAAGGTTTATAAAATACTTCTTTCTCAAAAAATGTCATTTTGATAGTAAAGACATGTTAGATAATGTTATACCTCTACAGTTTTGCATGACACTGGTTAGTTTCTTGCTGTTTTCTCTACCAAACATCTGTTTTTATGTGAGTTTATGAATTCAGAGCAGTATAATTTATAAGGAAGATCGCCATGACATTGTGATCTTGTGACCGAGCATTTCAAAATGTGGCTGGTGGGCAGAAAGACAACACACACCATTTGGCTTTACAGTACATATATTTACGTATTACACTACAATCATTCACTTTTTCATGAATTTGAACAACGATGGTCCAGTCCTGCATTATAGTTGGATGTGCAAACAGTTGGGGTGGGTGAGCGTTGGATTTCCTGTCATATAATTCAATTCATTTTATTTATATAGAGCCAAATCACAACAAAGTTGTCTCAGGGCACTTTACAGAAACATTCACATACATAAAAGCCAATTAGTAAAGTTCTCTATCTAAGGAATCCAGCAGACAAGTTGAATCTTGGCTTCATCACAGTCTCCCATCCTGAGCAAGCACAGTGGCAACAGTGGAAAGGAAAAACTCCCTTTTTAAAGGAAGAAACTTCCAGCAGAACCAGGCTCTGGACAAGCAGCCATCTGCTTTGACCGGCTGGTTTGAGAGGACAGGAAGGAGACAGACAAACATAGAATGATAGGTCCAGGTATAGGTCCAGGTGTATCTGAAAGACAAAAACACATGTTAAGGATAGAAAAAATAATTACAAATACAAAACAGGTTGAGCAGAGTAAGTAAAGACAGTAGTAGAGTGAAAATTGTGGTCAGTTTGTCCTCCAGCAGTCTAAGCCTATAGCAGTATAACTAAGGGACAGCTCAGGAAACCCAAGCCGACCCTAACTATAGGATTTAGCAAAAAGGAAAGCCTTAAGCCTAGTTTTAAAACTGGATCATGTGTCAGCCTCACGGACAGAGACTGGAAGTTGGTACCACAAGAGAGGAGCCTGATAACTGAAAGATCTGCCTCCCATTCTGTTTTTGTAAATTCTAGGAACCACAAGTAAACCTGCAGTCTGAGAGTGAAGTGGTCTGTTAGGAAATTATGGAACAATAAGATCTGTAATATAAGATGGAGCAAGGTTTTTATGTCTTTAAGACATGCTTGTAGTCTAAGTAGCTGATTGGATTCATTGGGTTTATTGGACAAATATAATTGTGTGTCATCAGCATAACAATTAAAATTTATCCCATGCTGTTTAATAACTTTACCTAATGGAAACATATAGAAAGTAAAGAGTATTGGCCAAAGCAATGAGCCCTGAGGAACTCCATGACTAACTTTGGTGTATGAAGAAGATTTATCATTTACATACTGGAATATATCAGATAGATATGATTTAGCCATTTAGTTCCTGTAACCCCAATATCATATTCAAGCCTTTGTAGTAAAATATTGTGATCAACTGTATCAAATGCAGCACTGAGGTCTAACAGGACCAGTATGACACAAGTCCATTGTCTGAGGCCATGAGAATATCATTAGTGACTTTTACTAGTGCTGTTTCTGTGCTATGATAAGCTCTCAACCCTGACTGAATCTCTTCAAACAGATTATTTCTTTGTAGATGTTCACGCAACTGACCTGCAACTATTTTCTTTAGAATTTTTGAGATGAAAGTTAGATTAGATATAGGTCTATAGTTGGCCAGAATTTCTGAATCAAGGTCAGACTTCTTAAGTAAAGGTTTTATTACAGCAACCGTAAAGTGCTGTGGTACATAACCATTCATTAAAGACAAATTAAGTAGATCCAAAATGTGGACATTAATTAGGGGAAATACCTCTTTAAACAGTCTGGTTGGGGTGGGATCTAGCAGACATGTGGATGGTTTGGATGAGGTTATTATTTTTGACAATTCAGAGAGCTCAACAGGACAAAAACTGTCCAAAGTTGTCTCATTTGACAGGGGACTAGAGACAGTAGAAGGAAGGATGGTTTGAATTTTCTCTCTAATTGAAATAATTTTATTTATTAAGAATCTCATGACGTCATCACTACTTATAGTTGTAGGGATACATGGTTCAACAGAAATGGGACATTTAATTAGTCTAGCAATAGTACTAAAAAGAAACCTAGGGTTATTTTTATTCTCCTCTATTAAAGATGAGTAATATAAAGTTCTAGCTTTACGGAGAGCTTTTTTATATGTTAGCAGACTATCTTTCCAAGTTAAATAAAATTCTTCAACATTAGTAGAGCACCATTTTCTCTCCTGGTTTCTAGATGCTGCTTTAAAGTACGTAACTCAGAATTGAACCAAGGAGCCAGTTCTATGTCGTATAGGCTTCGCCCTTTAAGGCTGTCACTGATGGGTTTATCCCATTATGCGCAAGCATCATACTGAAAAAATTAGTCCATGCCCACCTGCTGTGTGGGCCCCACCCGATCCGTATAAGTTACATTAAGAGCGGGTAATCGGCTCCCATTTTTCTTCAGCAAGCTAATAAAAAACAACTGACCTTCAACGAGATGTCCAGCTCCAACACCATCCGCTTGTGTCCCTCCTGCAAGACCGGTTACTTGCTCAGCTTCGACCGGCATGACACCTGCGAGGGATGCCTGGGTCCCCGCCACGTCGCCCGCGCTTCCTCCTGCCGCCTCTGTGACGAGCTTCCACCGGAGGAAAGGCAGAGGAGAGCAGCCTTGTTTAAGGCTACCATTGAGGACTGCCTGTCCGTGGCGGGAGACTGCTCGCTGGACGACGCCATGGATTTCTTCGACGCCGGCTCTCGGAGTGAATCGGATGATTCCTCTGGGACCGGTGACGTTAGCAGCAGCCCCGACGCTCGTTCCCTCCTGGGGAGCGCAGTGTTGGAAAGAGGGAGGCCGAGCGGATGCTCGACTCGCCCGGGGTTTCCCGCC